ATATATATATATATATATTAGAGGGGTTCTTAGTGAGTCAAATTAATTTTTGTAATTATATGAAATCTTTGTGAATAAAATTTATTTCTCCAAAAAGGTACATGTTTCAAATAAGTTAAATATTAATCACAGTGCGATTTGTTCATGTTTCCTCATTTATGAAAGAAAATGATAATTTTTCATTATCATAAAAACAGGTCATGCTTAATTTTTTTAATTTTTAATTTAAATATGTTAACAAAAATATTAATTGTAATGTGCTATGTTCTTTTTCTCAATGCTTGACATAATGTATGTGACTAATTGCCACATTTTGTGTTTTCAGCGACATAACAAGTAAGTTTCGTATTTTAATAATAATATAAAGACGATAAGATACTGCTGTTTACTTGGTATGCTGCTTGTGTGCCACTAAAAAGTAATAAATGAAAAATAATCTTTATTACTCTAATATTATTTTTTATTCAGAAAAATTTGGTGTGATAAATATGGATTATTATAGGATCAAATATAACAATAAAGATAAGACGTTAGTATTGTAATATAAAAATGGACCTGTATCTGTATAAGCAAAATTTATTAAATAAAAAATAAAGAACATGATGTGTATTTACTTTTGCCATCAATCGAAGTTGATGCTGGTGTAGTTATAACATTATTTTACTTAAAAGAATAGAATATTCCTGCTGATATAAAAGCTTCAATGTTAGGGAAATGGAGGCTGTATACCAGTGGTGTCTTATTTTGATAATGAGTGGAAGATGATTCTATGTCTAGATAGACAACTTTCTTTATTTTAGTTTTAAATTTAGAATGAAATTTAAAAAATATGATAATATCAAACTAAAATTTAATTGGGTATGATAACTATGAAAAGAACTTAATTCTTAAATAATAAAAAAATACTTTGTTGATATGAAAAAAGATATTGCCCATCGATCTTATAGTACTAGATACCGCATAAGCTATCTAACATCATTGAGATTGTTTTGATACGCAAAGTCGTGGACTTGGAGCTCTGCAGGATAAGGCGGGGAGCAAAAATTTGACGTTAGTCCTATACACCAGTGGCGTAGTACATTAGATTGGTTCATTAGGAATTTAAATTACAATTTAGTATTAAATGCAAGAAGTTTTATCTTCGGAAATAATTGAGTCAAACTTAATTTTAAAGCAGTACCTACATCTTGACAATAAAGGCTGTGATTAACAAAAAATATATATTTTTTCAAATGATATGGGGTTATAGGAACTAGCAAAATCAGTTTTTGTAAAAATTGTAATTTTTTCATTTCACTTATATAATATAGTGTACAATTCTTGTTATGGGGGAAAATTACGGAATGACTAAATCTTCATTTGACTTATTTTAGTATAGTTATTTACTGATGACTAATTTATCAACATCTAAGTTTACATAGTATACTCGTATATTATGTTAAAATATGTACTGTATCTCGCCCTACTTTATTAATATATGTTTTTCAAAAAGCATTTTTTGTAGCAGACGGTTTCTGAGACTGATGTGAGTAACTTATTAGTTTTGAAATTTGATGGTAATGTAAAGTTAAAGTTTACAGTGCTCTTCCAACATCTCGCTTTTAAGGAAATTAGTGTCAAATAAAATATACCTATTAAGATAAAACTTATTAATTGTTAAAAACTACTATTAAAAGAAAGTAATGAATAAATAACAAAATAAAGGATATAAACTACATATGTAAGTTATTGTATATTATAAAAGTATTAACAAAATAAAATAAATATATTAATACCTACATTTAGTATTGAATAATTCTAATTGCAATTAATACTGTGACAATATCAATAAAAAATTTGTATATTGATTTTTAAATAAAATTGTTTTTGTCAGTAAGCTTCCGACTCTGTTTTGTACATTATCTTTTAACTTAAATGTCTCGTGATGCACTCTAATCTTGAAATAATTTTTTAAAATTAGTTTTACTAATTGTAATGGATGCTAATTAAACGGATCATTTAATATCGTAAATAAATTATATTAATGTTCAATAGTATTCCAAAGGTGTGTTACACCTAAAAGAATCTACGCCCATGTATGCTTACAAACTTAACATATGAAAACGATACTGTGTAGCATAGTTACGTATATAATAATATGGTATTAATAACTGTCACAAAATAACTTCACACACTCAAAACATTTATAATACACAACAAAATTTCAGATAAGTCATTAATTAGAATATATTTTCTATGAATCTATGACGTAAACAAATAATGTGGAGCATGCCCGAATAAGCAGCCAATCAAAAGTAAAGGACCTTAAGATACCCCCCTGGAACAAAACAAATTGGGCCTATGCAGTATCTAGTACTATAAGATCGATGATGTTGCCCATACATAGTAAAATTTAAATGCCTGCGCAATAAATATTGGCAAGGCTGGGTTTGGCGGTAAATTTAAAATTCTTAATGAGCCGAAATAAAATATAAGTGACAGATGGAACTGCATAAAAACACTAGTTCTACCGAAGCATCCAGAAAAATTTTGCTATTTGTAAATTCTTGGGATAGATTTCTTATTAAATAAATATACCTAACCTTTCTATTATTTGTTCATGTAACCAATAACATATTTGAAATATTTATTGTACCAATTTTAGATGAAGGTTCTAAAAGTATTTTAATTTTGAATTTTAAGTTAACCTATTTTATATGAAATATATTATTGCTCGTCAAGGACCAACGAGAAGGTATGAACATATCCTTGCTTGAGGTGATGGAGCAGATTAAATTAATGGGGGGTAAAGATGTTAAAAACTTTAAAATAACATTGTAAATAGGTAAACAAATAAGTATTCCATGAAAAGAGAAATAAACATTTTTATAAATAAAAAATAAAATAGAAAAATGGTTTCTAATGACGATATCCTCTAATTTTTTGTAAATAATCTTCCCGAAGTGCTACTATATGTCGTGATTTTATAATTAGCAGATGATTGTCAAGTTTTTTATGTTTAAAATAACATTGAGAAATTGTTTTTACAAAAGGTGTTCAAATAAGTTGCCTTCTACTTCAAAAAAAAAACGATAAGCACTATTAAACATTGAAGCATTAACCCTTTATAGCATCTCTTGGTCTATTAATGCGACAACAGCGTGTATACGTGCTACTACATTTTGTGAATTTACAACAGGTTTGCTATGAATCTATTCTTTTAAATAACGCCAAAAGAAAAATCTAAGGGATTCAAATCTGGTGATCTATGAGGCCTTGCTATGGATCCACCTCTTCCAATCCATCTGTATGAAAAGTTTTGATTTCATACTCGTAAACTATAATGTGATGGAGCATCATGTTGAAACTAATAATTTAGTCTAACTGCTAACGGAATGTCATCCAGCATTGGCAATGGTAAGTTTTCTTTTAAAAACATACAGCTACAGTAAAAACAGCTCTGAACTACATAATTATTTAGTAACCCAGCTCAAATGTTTATTTTTATTTTTTTGAATAAAAAAAAACAATTAGAAAATTTTCCACTCTTGATTTTCGATTTGTTTTTGTCCCCTTAATCAAAACCCAGAAGGATGGGCGTCGCTTTTGTGACACCTTGTATATTTAAAATAATACGTTAACTTTGTATATGTAAATCTTTTTTTAACCTCTGGGTTTGTTTCGGCTCTCGACCTCCGTTTCAAAGGGTCTCCAGAAAGCCATGTTAAATTACTAGATAAATACATATAATATTTATTTTAATAACTTACTCTTTATTACTGGCTACGGTATGAACAAATAATAATGTCAACTAATAAATAATAATACATATACCAACATACCACGCCAAGCACTGTTTTGACGACCAGCGTGCTGCCGTTGATTCTACATCAGGCGGACTGGTCTACCAATACCAGACTCACTGAATTGCTATTAGATAATAAATTATTAGACAGATCATGGTCAAAGCATAGGAAGAAATTTCAAGAGAAATGCAGACGGTCCTGTGCTTTAAGATTCACTGGTTCCAATTGAAATCATGACGACTATACCATTGAAGGCAAATTGAGAAGTGGAATATTCCAGGAAATCTGAACACACCTACTTTGAACAGATTCGGATTAAGCCAAATTTTTACATATTAAATATGTTGCATCTTATGACAAATATTCATATTTCAAATTTGGAATTCAGAAAATAATATACCTACATGGTGATTCACAAATGGTGACCAAAAATGAAACCACGTATTCTTTGGTGAATTTTAAGGGGTCTTTCCTATAAAGTTTTTATCTAAGACGCTTCGTTAAAAAGATACAGGGTGTTAAAACTTCAAAAAATATTTTTTATTTTTTTTAAGTAATTTAAAAGGTAGTAAGTGAAGAAATTGGATACATGTATTTATGTAAACATTTGTTGAAAGGTACTCAAGTTACCTATACAAAAACATCCCCATCCTTAGATATTAATCAAGATATCTTGCCCATAAATTAAAAATGCTTATAAACATACAGAGGAAACATACAGAGGTATATTGTAGCACTAAGGTTAGGAGAGAATTTTAGTTTTCAATCTGATTTGACACAGAATAGATGTAATATCTGAATAAGTGAATAAACGATATATGTGTTTCTGCCCATAATCCCAACAACATTGTCCAAAATCTGAGAGCTTTTCCTAAAATTTACATACTCCAGTGGTGGAAATACAGGGTATCGGTGGTATATTTTTCTAAATAAAATAGTTCGCCATTGCTTTACGGTAACAACCATGATATTTTAAATTCATCTTTCAATTTCCTACAAATTACTAGTCTCTTATGTTTTTCGAAAAAAGACTGATTTTCGAGTAAAACTTAAAAAACCAACTGAAAACACTTTTACTTAAATGACATGACAAGCACTAATCATTCGGTTACTTATTCGAATAAGGAAATTAATAACACATCATTCTAATTTTATTTGAGTAATGCTCAAAAGTACCTCCGATTTCCACGAACACAGGCCCGACATCTTTTTAGTAACTAAAATGTAATTTAAACGAAAAATAATTTTGTAAAAATATACAATATAAATATATAACATATGTAATATCATTGTATAAGTAAATATAGTAATATAATCCCCATGTAAATTTTGTTAACCAGTAAAACGATACGAAAGATAATGTGGACATCTATCGTCTGTATTGGTTATTACTATTTCTGAAATTTGTGCTAAAAAACTCACTGTAGGTCTAGGCGGTCTCTACTGTACTGTTATTATACAAGGGGTATAGTCATTCGTGTGTAGATGGCTCTAAGATTGGAATTAAAAAAATCTCCACTTTGTAATGCATAAAAAACTGGTGTTGTTGAATCGGTGTTCTGTTTACTGTTCACTGTTCACATATTTAAAATAAATTAATAATGGCAGGAAATATGTCAATATTATAAATGTGGAAAATCTAAAGGAAAATTTCCCAATATAATATTACATCGATTTCCATTGGAAAAATGTGGTGAAAAACGAGTTAAAAAATGGATAGAAAATTGTGGTGAGTAAATAAATATACATATACAGGGTGTCCTAAAATCATTATACCATAGGTATGCTTTTTTTAATGGAA